ACAGTTCTGGCATGGAGGGACACGCACATGCTGTAGTAGGTCGGAAGGTGGGCCAACGATAGTGGGAAGAATGAGGAACTGCTAGTTTCCATTTCATTAACGCTGATACGGTGGCTTTTAGCACCAGAAGATGTTAAAATTCGTCCACAGTAACAGGAGGAAATGCCAAAAGACATCTGTTTCCACCTAATAAGGGGGCAAGTCATTCTCCAGAGGCTGCATGTCGGAATCGCCAAGGCCAGATGAAGATAAACTCAGATCCCCATGCTGTAAATAGATTCTCCGACTTCCCAGTTTAGACCTCTCTCTGCTGCCTGGCCCAGCATAGGATGTGATTGCTACACTCTCTTCTCATTCTTTCACTCCCCTCTAGAAGGTATCTGAATGTGTATGTTCAAAAAAATGAACTTCCCCGTTTTGCAGAGGTCCCCTCAGTTCTGTTAGCAAGACCTAGGAAGAGGGGGTGGGGACATGGCTCAGAATCCTTCTTGCTTGCTTCTCAAGTTTGATGGATGGCCTGAGTTCTGATTTCCAGAGCCCAAGTTTTTTTTTTTTAAAGTGCTGATTGAGGCCTCATCCCCCAGGTCAGAGAGGAGGGTTAGAAACAGAAGGCTCACTCACTGGGGCTTCCTGGCCAGCCTACCTGGCTGAAAAAAAAGAATGGTGAGCTCCAGGTTCAATAAGAGATTTTTGTCTCAGAAAATAGGCCACCAACATCCTTCGTGCACACATGTGCACACACCACACACATTACATGTACGTATCTAGCTGGGCGCACTTGGCTTCAGCTAACATGGACACCACTGCAAAGCACAGGGCTGTTCTTGGCATAATTTCTCACAACTGCCCCCTCAAACACTTTCCCTCATATTTCATGATTTGGTTGAAAACCCAATACAGTTAGGAAAAAGATGTGCATAAGCGAAGCATAATTATATTGATTCATGTTCAGTTGATAAAGATTTATTTGTCCTGAAGGCATCATAATGGCCAAGATTTGCCCACGATCAATGACTCTTGGGCCAATAAATCCTGGTATTGGCAACAAAAGCCAATATCTACTTAAACTTTTTTCAAAGTGTTGTTATAATATGCTGATGGCATGAAACATGGGAACACATAAAAACACGGTCTCTGGAGCTGTATGTTGACACTGGATTTGTAACTCCTCCAGTTAATATTCTAGAGTCCCGTGACATGGGCACAAGCGGCTATTCCAGGGAGAGTCAACAATGAGAAATGATAGCTAGCGATACCTTTCTAGAAGGGCAAACAAGAGGACTGTAGATGAAAACACAAAGTCAAAAATCAAGATGACATGCAGATGTTAACAGTGTGTCTACAAGTTGAAACTCTGCACCATGAGACTTGCAAAAGAAAGACAATGTTTGTAAAAAAATAAAAAGGTGGGAATAGGAGCAAGCAGGATAAAAGACGAAGCAAGGCCAACAAGTGCAGGGGACAGGCATCGAGGAAAAGGCTGGCAGCAGTCTCAGGCTTCCGTCTTGCACCAGTGTCAGAGGGAACTCTTTTGATGGCTGTGTCTGCTAGTTTGTTTTACTGTGCTAAAATACCTGATGAACCAGCTCATAGAAGAAAGTGTTTATTTTGGCTCATGACATCAGAAGTTTCAGCTCACCATCAACTGAGTCCTTTTGCTGTAGACCTGAGGTGAGGCAAAAACATCACATTGGCGAAGAATGTTGGAGTGAATGTCCCCGTTCCCTGAAAGTCAGGGAGAGAGAGAGGGGCAGGAGAAGAGGCTCTGAACAAGATGAACCAGTGAATGGTACACCTCCAGTGACCCAGGCCCAGCCACCACGGTTTCCTGTGCCTTCTGATAGTGCATTCAAATACAAATCCATCAATGGATCAATCATTCACCCCACTGGAACTCTCCGAATATGAGTTCACTCACCAAAGCCCTGGGAATCAAGTCTATGAGCCATCTGGGGTATGCTTTGTAACCAAACTATAATGGTGGCTATTGCTCTCTTGATTCACAAAGCGATTCTGTCAGGAACATGCAGAAAAGAAAACCTGTTATTCCTGCAGAATGAGGTTGCACCAAAGACCACAGTTTTGCATGGCAGAGCTAAAACTTTAATCCAGGTCTGTTTAACCCAAAAGATCTTGTTCTGTCTATGTCCCTATAGACAAAAAGCTCCAGTTGTTCACTTTCAGGAACTATTTGGCATTGTCAACAAAGCAAGACAGTTTTCTAAGAATGACTAATGACTTGTGATATTATGTCCTGATCCCCCGAGTAATTTAATCTGCCCCACCAATATGTCCCAGAAACCTCTAAGCAATGACACTAAATGTTGGTGGGGGCTCATCATACAAAGCAAATCCTGCATTTTGTTCCTTTGTAGGGTGAAGAAGATTTTGTGGGATAAAAGGATGCTGGGATGTCATTGCCTTTGAGGAAGACCAAGGAGGGCCTTGGAATTATACACAAAGATGTTTCTATGGGTTCATGTGTGGCTCTGCAACCTACAAACTAGGAACAATTCCTTATAAACTTTCTGCTACCTCTGGAGCAGAGGACTGCCACATGACTGACAGAAAGGAGATCAGTACATTTGTCTATGGATGTCATGGGAGTGGGAGGAGAATCCATCTTCACCATGTGTGGGGATTCCAGTGTCTTAATGCATGAAAATTTTCTGAGAAAATGAAGTGTAAGAGACTAATATCATGAAGACACTCAGTGGCATAAGGAGCTTTTATTTTCGTACCTATAAAAATATTTTCAAATCTTTAATCAAATATCATGTTTAGATGGAAGCTTTGCCAGTATATTTCAGGACTTTAATATATTCTCTTTTAAATAGTTATTATTATTTTTCAATTAACAATGCAATATATAATAAAACATGAGAATAAATTATTTTGATTATATGCTTAGGTTTGTATGTATACATCTATATTGCTACATACATATTTATACATGTACACATATACAGACAAAATTTTGTATATGTTTAGTAGTATGAAAATAACATCCTTCAAATTTTGTTGTTTCTTACAGGGTACATATTTATCTTGCTTAATCCTCACAATTATCTCGTTGGACCAAAGATTTGTAACTTGCAGCATGTGTCGGTATTTCCTCTCCTGGATTGTAGACTTAAAACACTATGTCTTTGCTGCACCAAACCAATCATTTTCTCCAATTTTCTACTAATTTTTATAAAACAAAGAAGCAGAGCATGCAATTATTTCAATAACTGAGTCCAAACAAATACTGCTGTACAGACAAAGAAGGACACAGCTGAAAGGGACCCATCAGCCACCAGGCTGTGCTGCTCTGCTGTGGTTGACAGTGTCATTTTAGCACTGACATCTGACTCTAATGGAGGAGAGGTTGTTTCAGGGGATGTAAATATTGCACAAAAATTCAAGTCGTTTAAAATTCAGCCCTTTATAAGGTTGGTTCCATGTGTGAAAGCAACTTCTAAAACCACAGATATGTTTGGCAAGGGAAGAAAGGAAAGTCTTATTCTGATAAAAGGCCCCTTTCCTCCCAAAAGTAGATGAATTTTCTCATATTCAAAAAGGGGGGTGGTCTTGCCATCATCCTCCAAATTTTTGTGTCTCATGCATTAAATAAACATGCCCAATTTCACGATGAATTATAATTCATCTTTCTCCAGGCACTTTACATTCCTTTAGTCTTCGTCATGTATTTATCCTCAGGAAAGATAATAGATTTAAGAATGAATTCTTTTAAAAGCCATCAACATCACACTGAAGGTATTCCAAACCCAGCTAACAACCGAATTCTGCCCTACTTACCCTGACTCACACCATCCAGTGAAAGGCAGTGTCTTGATGGATCATTCATGGAAAACTAAAGTAATTACCATCATTCTAATATTCCTATTTAAATGCATGAAAAACTGATTAGCTGAAGGCAGCCCTATATATAGCAGAAATGGCATCTTCTTAATATTTATGCTAATGTGAAAGACATTCTACACAAAGGTTAGAGGTGACATGTGGGTAAGAAATGATCTTAACATACACACTTTATTTACTTACAATAATGCATGACATGGGTATGACTCCCGGAGAGGGATTTAACAGGCATAGAAGGCGAGATATGGAGGAATAATTCAATAAGAAAATAATACACATACATGGGCACAGATGTATGCATTCACAAAACAGGTTCCTGCAAGACCTCTCAAAACTCACACAGAGGGGAGTGTGCATACTTCCAAACTTCAGCTACACAAGTAGATTTCATTCTTTTAGACTGAAGTAGTCACTTTTGTTTCTCTCTCTCTCTCTCTCTCTCTCTCTCTCTCTCTCTCTCTCTCTCTCTCTTTCTGTGTGTGTGTGTGTGTTTGTTCAGAGAGAATTCCGATGGAAGTTGGGAAAGGTTTAATGATTTTTGTGACTCCGAGTGTTACCTTGTCTCTAAAACAACCAAGAAGTTGATAAAAATGATGCCATTTCAAACTGCAGTCACTGTCTGGTGCGAGGAATGAAGAACTCACCTCTAAATTCCATGTGATTCGCACATTTCCTTTCCACGTGGCTAACCCACTGGCTGAATCCTGTTTGCTGTCAGCTTTCTAAGCACGCTGCAAGGTGAGACACTCCAGAAACTGTGCATACCAAAGAACACATCTCAGGCTGTGCGCGAAGAACAAATGAAACATGAAATTATCATGAACTGCGGACTCACACAAGCAGGCTAAGAATGGGTTACAGCTGAGAACGGATTTCAAACAAGCCTCTGATTTAATGACAGCCTAAGCCAGAGCCTGATTGAGGGCAATCAAGTCCTTCTCTCTTATCTACTTCTAACTCACTTTTTATACCAAAAGAAAAACCGCTGTTACAACGTTCAGTCGTATAAGGCAGCAGCAAGCTCTGAAAATAGAAAGGCTGTTTCCATGAGCAATTACGACACAATACACATTCATGCTGAAAGTGTGGTCAAGTGACCAGGTAACCAATAGCAACTTCTTACTCAGCAGGTCGGGCCAAACTCACTGGAAAGACGTTTTTTGCCTTCCATGGGCACATTCTAAGTGTGCCTGCCCTCACTGGGAGAACTGAGGCCCACAAGGAATATGACTTTCAGATTTCAAAACTGAATCAACAGCCAGGCGAATCACCCACTGGGAAAGAGGCAGCACTGAAGGGACCCTCAGTTAGGCTCCTACGATTGTCATCTCTTTACAGTTTCTGATTCATAGCAAGAGCCTGTCATTCACGCTCATCTACGACTTTCTAATCCCACCCCTGGATGCCAACTCCAGCACTCACTCCCTGAATCATATTTTTAAAAATCTGAGTGCATTCCTTGTAGCATTTCATTATTCTTTACTCAGTACCCCCTTCCCCCCTTTTTATTTTTCTTCCGTGTCCTGATCATTTCAGGGGCTCTTGCTGTCTTTTCAGGGAGTCTCTGGCATGGTGGTGAAGGCGAGGATGTAATGACTTCACTAGACCCAAGATAAATGATAAATGGGTGTTTATTGGGAACACTTACAAAGAAAAATACAAAGAATCCTGGGAGCCTTTCTATACCCTTCCTATCAGATCCGCGGACCCACCAGAAAAGAGCTGGCAAACCGAAGCCACACCTCAAGCTTTCCTCTTTCCGCTTCCGTCCGCCTGAAGCCACACCCAAAGGGGTGTGGCCACCGTTACAGGTTCATAGACAACATGCCTACAGTGGATTCTTCAATCAATGTTGTTTTAAAATTGGGAAATTCTATTTTCCTTTTTAAAATTAATCAATTTTTATGTGCATGGGTGTTTACCTGCATGTATGCCAGTTGCATGTCTGGAGCCAGCAGGGGTCAGAAGTGGGTTCTGGATCTCCTAGAACTGGAAATGGGTTGTATGTTGCCATGTGGGTTCTGGAAATTGAACCCTGATCCTCTAGAAATGTAGCCAGTGCTCACAGGCACTGAGCCATCTCACCAGCCCTAAAGCTAGTTTTTAGACAAGACTACTTGTAGAGAATCCAGGGGATGCTATTAATTACATTCTTATTGTGACTACCCAGCAAGAAGCAACTTCAGGGAGCGAGGACTTAGTTGGCTCATGGTTTGAGAGAGTAAAGTTTATTATGGCTGAGAGGCATGGTGGAGGTTTGGTGGAGGAGGAGAGGGGGAGTAATGAAGGAGACACAGTCAATGATTCATGGTGGAATGACAGAGGAGACAGCGAAGGAGGAGTGATGGAGGGACATGGTGAGAGATTCATGGTGGAGTGATGGAGGGGGTTTGGTAGAGGAGGCATGGAGGAAGAGTCTTGGTGGAATGATGGAGGAGGCATGGTAGAGGGATGGAGGGGTTTGGCAGAGGAGACATGGAGGACTTATGGTGGAGTGATGGAGGGGGTTTGGCAGAGGAGACATGGAGGACTTATGGTAGAGTGATGGAAGGGGTTTGGTGGAGGAGACATGGAGGACTTATGGTGGAGTGATGGAGGAGGTGTCGTGGAGGAGGACATGTAGAGTGATGGAGGAGATGAGGTGGAGTGATGGAGGAGGCATGGAAGGAGACTCTCAGTGACAGCAAGAGCCTTTGGTGCTGCATGCTCACACATCTGTAGATGAGGAAGCAGATAACCTGGGCTGAAAATTAGCTAAGTCATAGCCAACCAGGCCCATCCTTCAGTGGTTCACTTTCTCCAGGGAAATCTGCCTCTTGCAGCTTCCACAATCTCCCAAAGACCACCACCGCCCGGGGGACCCAGTGTTTAAACACATGAGCCTGTGGGGGAGAATTCACATTCTAGCCATCGCATGAACATATTTTCTGTGTTTTTTTTTCACACAGACCGAGGCATTTCACTGTATGTTCTCTAGACTGAATCGTCCAGATGGTAGCTACTCATTCAGATAGTGTGAGTGGCATGTGGAGAAAGCTCGACTCTGGCTGTGTTTTGCTTAGAGATGGGGCTTTCTAAGACCTGGGTTGTTGGATGATTCTGCCACCGTGGGAACATTACTGAGTGGATTTGTAAAGATCCCAAAGGTATGTAGCTCAGCCACTCAGGGTGATCTCTTGAAGCCATCTAGAGACGTGGTGAACATGAGGTGAACCCAGTCGCAGCTGGCATGCTATGGCAAAGTGTACTGTAGTGAAACTTATTTTCTAAGTAGAGGGAGTCTACTCCAAAATAACAATAATGGCTGGAGAGAAGGCTCAGATGTTAAGAGCATGCACTACGTCTAGCAGAAGGTCTGAGTTTGGTTCCCAACACTCATAATAGGCAGCCCACAGCCATCTAAAACCCCAGGATATCTGATACCCTCCATGAGACTCAATGGGTATCTGCACTCACACAAGTCAATACCACTCTCACTACACACATAGAAACAGAAGTAAGTCTTCAGAAAAAAAGCATCTAAAACATTGCTAAGATGTGTGACAGTTAATGCTGAACCTGGTGTCACTGCCATTTATTATCAAGTATCACGAACCACACAAGAACTGTGTGTGCTATGCTGTTTACAACAAAGATTCCATTAGGTTTGTTTACAATAACATCGGCACAAACATGGCAGAAAAAGCATTTACCACATTACAGCTTCACTAGGTGAGAGGAAATTGTCACCTCTATTACAACCTATGGAGCCACTGCTGTAAATGAGATCCATTGCCAAGTGAAATGTTACATTACACAGCATGTCCGCCTGGTTTATGTATATAGGAGCTCAGGTAGGCTGTGAAAGCATGGGTGTGGCTTATACACTTGTATCTTGTTTGGAAAGATCAGTACAGTCTTGTTCAGTTCATAACTGGCAATGAGGGACCGAGGCAAGACAACACTAATCATTAATACATCCCATTACTCCAGGCATAAGGAGAGGAGTGACCTTCCCCCTCACCATTAAAATCTCCCTCAACCCCCACCCCAGTGGCTGGACCAACTCCTAAGCTTTAGTCTTTTGATCCTTCTCTTTTACTGATAGCTTTCTGGGCCTCCCTCAAATCCCAGCCCTCCATCCTACATAGGATGTCTGCTTCAAGGTAAAGAACAAACATTTTCAAGTGAAGCATCAAAAACTCGGTTTCCTTGGTAACTTGGGCAGGGAAAGAGAATTTATAGTGCTCAGAGCACTGGCTGGGAGCAGGCAGATTCATTCTCCTCTCACTCTTAAGGCTTTTTCTGCAACACAAGACAGTGTCCCAAGCTGCTATACAGAGCTACACATTTAAAGTTAAATGGAAAGTGAAATCTGCTGCTAAGTTGAGCTCTCCCACTGAAATCCTTGGGAGATTATTAGTTCCTTCTGGCTATATCAGGTTCCTCCTTTTCCCACACCTATCAAATGGCCTTGAAGTTTTACTTCATTTGAAATATTGTACAGTAAGTGAACGCTGTGTGACAATGGGCTGCATGGAATAATGGAACAAATAGTTGCTTAAATTTAATTTAAAAGTAGTTCAGATAAAGACTCAGAGAATTAGTACTGGGGTTAAGGATGGAATCTACTAAGCTACATCTGACTAGAGGGGAGAAGGTATGGAGGAGGGGTGTCTGCCTCTTCCACCATAGGAGCAAATTCTGTTAGGTACCTTTGGGTAGTCAAAAGGAATTCTGATATAAGTACGATGTGCATGTGTGTACCACGATGTCTCCCTCTGCTCTCGATTTTGTACTGTATGTAGGTGTTGGCTGCTCAGAACTAATGTACTTTCATTACAAAAGAAGAAAACTTCCCTTAAAGCTATACCATCAGTCTAGAAAGAAGCATCAAATTGGATCTTTACTTAGCCTCTTATGGGGATTTCAGTGCCCCAGCTGTGTGTCCTTATTAACTCTTTTTAAAAAGACACCCTGTAGTGAATTCTTAATCATAATCAGTCATTGAATCCAATTCTAGGTTACAAAAATCATATACTTGAGCAGTCTTAATGGATGTGACATTTGTTGGATTTAGTAAGAATAGACATTTAGTAAAATCCTCCTAAAGGAATTAACCAATTTGACATTCCACCCCATCATTCCATCCTGTGCTGTCACAACTGGATGATGGGGCTTCCCTTAGTAGTTTCTCAGTCCTTTTCTGGTTGTGTGTCTCTTAGGTGCCCTTGAGATTCATGCAGAAATAAGACTGTCTTATAACAGAAATACATTATGTCTATTACAGTGCTTCACCACAGTAATCAACAATTAATTTATGGGTCATTGGAGAATCTCTTTGTGATGTTTAGGTAAAGAGAATGGGAAATCTGAATATAAATCAGTTTTGGAATATGGTCTTTAGATTCTAGAAAAATAATGTGCCTTGGGTTTTGGTGTTAGGGCTACCCAGGGAGATGAAAGCCATAGGTGATGTAAGCAGTGGTGTGAGAGTTTGTCAGGAATTGGCTCACTGTTATGGCTGCCTTAAAGTCCCAATAGCAGATCATATGCAAGATGGAAGCTATGGGATGCTAGTAGCATGATTTAAGTTCAAATTTAGAAGATTCTAAACCAGCCAATGATGGAACTCTTAGTTTGAGGCCAAAAAGCCTGGGAATGTGGGGAGAAGCCACAGATATTGTTGGGGTTCAAAGGCTGGTGATTCGGAGTTCTGATGCCCCAGTGAGGAGACAAGTGGACATCCCCCCATGCCAGCTCTCAGTGGAAGATGGAAATTTCCTTCAGTATTTGTTCTTCTGAGAATCCTAGTCTATTGACTGCTGTTGTTCACATTGAGGGTAGAATTTCTCCGGTCAGTCTGCCAGACTCCCATGTAATCTTGTCTAAAAACACAATCATTGACAAACCCAAATAATGCCTTTGCCAATGCTGTGGCTAAACATTTAGACTGTCATCTAAAGTTAGCTGTGTTTGAACCATGATGTACAATAATGGTCAACCAGAGCCACAAGGAAGTCTGATCCATATACAAAGGAAGACAACAGACCAATCATTTCTTTTAAACAAGAAGAAACTTTCAAGCAGTGGTTTTCAATCTATGGGTTGCGACCATTTTGGGGGTTATATCAGATGTCCTGCATATCAGATATTTACATTATAATTAATGATAGCAAATTTACAGTTATGAATTAACAATAAAATCATTATATGTTTGGGAGTCACCACAGCATGAAGAACTGCATTAAAGAGTCACAGCATTAGGAAGGTTGAGCGGCATGGTTGTTGAGTGATCACATCCTTCTCTTTTAACAGAACCCATCATTGCTTTGACTCCTTTTATCAGAGGCGGTAAGGGCGGGAGACAATGAACAGATAAGATCTAATGGAGGGAGGAACCCACTTGTTCCAGTTAGGAGGTTATTAGGTTCTGGAAATCTAGTATCTGGAGTAGTGCCTGGCACACAGTAGGTGCTCACTAAATGTTTGCTAAATGGAGAAATGAGTGAAGGATATAAAAATCGACTAGACACACAGCTTCCATGTGAGTCCTGTGAAAGAGACTATCCTTCAACTTGGCAAGTCTCAATAAAGTCGTCGGTGATTCCACGTGGTGGCAAAAAATCACAGATAATTACTGCTTCTGTTTTGATAAAGATTTGGAATAAAACAATACAAATTGTTCATATTTTTCTATCTGTGGTTCTTTAACAGCCAATAGCCACTATGAAACAACATCCAGCAGTCAGTAAGATCTCATCAACTAATTTACTGATCTGTCTCTCTTCCCTACTCTTTCTATCCAGCTATGTCTCGATCTCACCTCTCTCTCTTGTCTTTGTGAGACAAGATCGTATTATGTAGGCCAGGCTAGCCTGGAACTCAGGATCCCAACAGACCTTTGTTAACCACACTGACTTAACCTATTTCATCTTAAAGAAGGCAGTGATGGCTTCCTATCTTGTCAACCTTTTTCAGAGTGCTGCTTTTCAAGATGAAAAAAAACTAAACAAAGACTTCAAGTGGAGCTGGTTGTATTTTTAGTGCAGTTAGTGGAACTTTTAAAGTTAAATTTTTGTTTTCAGGTTGGGTGTGGCAGCACAGATCTGTATCATAGTACCTGGGAGGTGTTAACACAGAAACATTTATTTATCTATACATTTATTTATTTGTGGTATATGCTTGTGTATGGCAGAGGGGTGCACTTGCTGATGAATGTACTTGTGGAGACCAGAGATTAATGTTGACTGTCTTCTTCAGTTGCTCTCCACTTGATCTGTTTGTAGATATGCCCTTTCACTGAAGCTGTAGATCATTGTTTTGGCTATACTGATTGTCTAGTGGACCCCATGGGATACACTTTTACTTGGGTGTTGGGGGTTATAGACTTTTACTTGGGTGTTGGGGATTATAGACTTTTACTTGGGTGTTGGGGAATAGAACTTGGGTCCTTATGCTTGTACAAATTGCACTATACCTGTTGAACCACCTATTTCTCCTCACTGTGGGCCATCTTTTCTTCTTCTCAAGCAGGCATTTATTTATAAAACATTTTTTATTTAAAAACTCAATGAATTGCAATTTATCATTTTTCTTTTTATAAATTGCACTTTTGGTATTAAGTGCAAGAACACTATGCACACCCCAGTCCTACATGTTAAGGATTTTCTCTTAAATTTAGTTTTACACTTTCCATTTAAGTTCGATATCATTTTTGTGTTAACATTTCATAGCATGTAAGACTTAAGTCTGGATTCTTTTTTTTTTTGTTGCAGGTGGGCATCCAACTGCTTCAGCGCCATTTGCTAAAAAGAGTGTCTTTCCTCCATTGAATGGCTTTTGCACCTTTGTCAAAAGTCAATTGCACAAGCTTGTGGGAGTCTATTTTGGGCTCTCTGTTCTGATCCATTGATCCATGTGTCTAGGAATGGACATCTTTGCCTCCTTGCTGATCTTAGCAGGAAAGTATTCAGGTCTCACAATCAAGCACAACATTAGCTGAATGCTTTTGATGGACGATCTCTATCAAGTTGAAGAAATCTCTCTCCATTTCTAGTTATCGTTAGAGACTCCTTTTGAAAACCAAGAATCAGTCCCCATTCCCACCAAGTGCTTTTCTACATCAGTTGTAGTTTTTCCTTTCATCTAATTTTTTCTTCTTTGAACTGTTAATACAGTTGATAATATAGTCAGCCCTTTTTCTCTTGAATAAACAAGTCAATTTACTCATGACATAGAACTATTTTGTTAATATTGAAATTTGTTAATATTTTGCCATCGAGTGAGGCATAACTATCTATGATGAACATTGGTTTGTAGGCTTAAAATATTTCTCTGGTGTTATTCCTCATATTTTCTAGAAAACATTTTGAGCTGAATTCATGTTAACTATTTAAAAGTTTTTGATGTATTTACATTTGGATGTTGATTTGGTCTGGTAACTGATGGTCTTTATTCCCTAAACCTATGCTGGTTTTTGTTCCAGTTGTTTTAATGCAGAGCAATGATGTCTCCATGCATAACATGGACTTGTTGATACCTCTTCCCCATTCTTCCACTTTTGCTTTTTCCTATTTTGTGACTTGCAGATCCTTCAGCTAGAATCCACTGTTTCTTTACTGGAACCCCATTGGTGTGGTAATGGAGTGAGGAAGCCTTCAATTGATAGCACTAAATCACAGTTTGTGATGAGTATAGGCCTTCATCTTGGCTTCTACATGTATTTTTCAGCTCCCTTTGCTTTGGTGACACAGGGAGACTAGCAGGGCTGAGGTTCTCTGAGGGGTGTAAGAATCATGCAGAGTGGTTAATGAATGCATCCTGTCTCTTTCTTGAGCCCTTGGATGGGAAGGATTTAGTTGGGACTGTTTTGCTTTTATTTTGTTGCATTCATTGACATTTCCAGACTGATAACTCCTTCAACAATTAAATATCCATTAAACTCACCTCTGTGCCATTCTGTGGGTCTCCAGATCACCCAGTGTTCTTCAATGTCTTTTTATGATTGATTCATATACAACATACAAATACTTACCTTTACCTAGCAGAAGGAATGTGCCATGTATATCCCTCCTATCTTCCCAAAAGTAGACATCCTCTTGACATTACATTTTGTAAAGATCCTAAATGTTCACTGTAGTTGAAAGTAAACGTGACATCTCCCTGGGCACTGTATTATTATTGAGTCTATTTAGAAGACGGAAATGTTCAAAACTGTTATCACTTATGGCCACCACTGCCCTCTTAACTGACCCATTGTTAATCAAAAGAGCATTGTCTCCTAAAGTGAGACACACACACATTATACAGTGATTCTGTATTCCCAAAGTGACATCCAAGTTAACTCAAAGCTGGCTATTTGCTCTCTGGAAGTTAACAATACTATATATAATTTCCATCTAATTGTATTTCACAATGTATTTGTAAGTCAATCTGGAGAACCATTTGTACAAAGAGCATCTCTGGGATTTCAAGGAATGAGGAAATACACAAACTATGGAGAAGGTAGCTACAGATCATATTGTCTAGGCAGTATTAGTACAGTCCTAGCATATGGTGTACACTCAGCAAATATCTGTGAGTATGTGAATGAATAAATAAAGACACCTTTGGGAATGTGATGAAGATAATTTTCTTACTGAAATAATAACGTTATAGCTAAGACACATCAGTGAAGTCTGCAGGACTCTTATGGGAATTAGTAGTTATGCATAGGTATCTAGTTTATGTACTCACACCTGAAAGTGGTTTGGGCTTATAAATCTTACTATATTTTTGTCTATCATTATGTATACTGAGATTCTGGAGGGGCTTTTTCTTTTTCAAATCAAAGTGTCTTTTTATTTTAAGATCATCCAAAGCTTGAGACTATGAATCATGAAGTTTTTGCACTTTGGCTCACTGTACAAACTAGATAATGGTTAATGCTTCTACACACCGAGAATTCATTTTTTCAAAAGTCATTCAAGGACATTACCATCTTCTGCTCTATTTTTAAATACACAATAACATCCCTCTTGTTTACAGCTTCCCTGGCCTCAGGACAAAGTACTTTTCAATGGCAGAGGCCTTTCAAGCTATAAGTCACACGAGCCCTGGAAAGTAAGCCCAACTAATGCACAGAGAGAAAACAGAGAAGCAGGCTCTGTCCTAGTTCAACAGTCTTGTCTCTCTGTCTTGCAAGTGCAGGCCACCTAAGTCACTTCCCTTCTCCACTAGCAGCCACACCCACATAAAAGAAACTGTTCCATTCGATGCAGACTCAGGGTAAAGAGAGGAGAGCCTATGTTGGCATGTGTATCTTTTAGATCAGAAGATGCAGAAGACAAAAAGAGAGACCAGAGGAAAACCCTTGCCTTTGTACAAAGTCAAGATTTCCTACAATCACCGAGGAAACAGGAGATACTTGACCATCTTATGTCTTCCCACAAATGCAACCAGTATTGGGGCATCTTCACACCATTGTTTAGCATTTCATGGATACTTTACACCCTTCCTGTCTAACACAGACATCTGAATGTGTCCCCCCCTCCTTTGCCTGACTTGCATTTGTCACCATGTAGTACACTGCACAACTATAACCCATCCTGTCTCACAGGCTTATCGTCTCTATTCACTGCTGTGTCTTGAGTGCCTAGATGCTGCAGGTGTGCAGACAATACTTGTAGAGTAAGATTTCTTTGGAAAGAGACAGTGACCACAAATAGCCTTCTAGGTGAAAATTACCTCCAAAAGTTATACTGCCTTTAATCAAAAGGAAACTGAGGCAGAGATGAGAGGAGTGTGGGCATAAGTTAAGACTTAGGTCCACATTTTGAAAACACTGAATGGATGGATAGCTTTGGTCTCTGAAGTTTTAATTTCTGGTCTTTGACACGGGAGCAGAATAGATCTTTAAAGCCCTCCCCAGTCCCAAGATTAGCTATTCAGCTGTGTGTTATTTTTTGTTCTGTGAGGGACTTGATACCCAGATCCTTGGAGGAAATAGATGCTCATGCTCCATGATCCTATTTTGTCCATATGATACACATTGAAATACTGGTAAAACAAATTAGATCACAAATTATAGTTCCCCAAAAGTTTAATGTAGTTTGAACCAGAGCCAGAGCCAAATAGCAGAATCAAATAATGGAACGAGACACAGAGAGAGAGAGAGAGAGAGAGAGAGAGAGAGAGAGAGAGAGAGAGGGAGGGAGGGAGGGAGGGAGGGAGGGAGGGAGGGAGGGAGGGAGGGAGGGAGGGAGGGAGGGAGGGAGACAGAGACAGAGAGATAATAAAAGCATGGGAACTCTTGTACTCTTGTTTTAGAGGATTCACACAGAAAGGACAAAGTTTTCAAGAAGGATAAATATCCAACCCCATTCCCATCACAGTCTTGCACCAAATCACTATTTATAGCATGGCTTCCATGAATACACTTGATGCAATTAATTGTTCGACTGCAGTGGTTCTTGACCCTCCTAATACTGGCACCCTTTAATCAGTTCCTCATGTTGTAGTCACCCCCTGCAGCCACAAAATGGTTTTTGTTGTTCTGTCATAACTAATTTTGCTATTGTTATTACTCATAATGTAAATATTCGAATTTTCTGATGGTCTTAAGTAACCCCTGTAAAAGGATTGTTGAAACCTAAAGGGGTCACGACCGGTAGGTTGAGAACCACTGTTTTAGCAGCTCATGCTTTTAAATGACTTTTGAATCCCTAATAGTCATAATAATATTAGTAAACAAATAAACACATGGACTTTGAGATTACTGTCTTACCACAAAACAAAGTGATTCCACTTCCTTAGAAAAAAGTTATTCTCTAGGCGCCTCTAAGAAAGAACATGGAACACTTTCTTCATTGATGTTTTCTCTTCCTCTGTCTCTCTCTCTCTTTTAACATACTCTTGCTCTTCTCTAACCATAAATCATTGCACCAATGGAATTTCCACTTGCATATAAAGTGACTGGTGCCATGGACATATTTACTGTCACTTTTTATAAAAAGACGATATATTTCCCTCCATGACAAGAGAGCAGCTGGCTAATTTAGAATGCCTGCTGAACATTGAGGGAAAAGTAATCATTTTATTTTTCACGGGCATATTTAGAAGGTGCACACTGAATATGAATGACTATAAATATTGGAATTGCACAGATATATGGGGGGCTGTCCAAATGTTTTCCTCCAAAATATACAGGGATCCCCATCAAGCTCCGAGGTGGCTTTGAGTCCAACAATTTATTTCTTATGAAACAAATTAAGTCTGGCCAACACTGAGTATGTGGTGTTTAAAAAATTTAGAAGACACTTCACTGTTAATAATTTATTGGATCATTGCAAAATAAATTTTTACATATTGTTATGACATATGGCTTCTCAATAACACGGTTTATTAGTAAACACCAACGCTCTATGATAACTCAGTAACCCAATGTGTGAAATTTCATTATGATAGAATTTAGATATTAGTGATTAATTTCAGAAAGTGAATTAAAATTTAGAACCCTATATTATGTAACTGAGGACAGAATCATGAGATGAACCACTGAATGCAATATGAAAATATTATGAGCTTTATTCAAATTCACTTTGAGTCCTTTCAAACACTACTGTTTATAAGTGAAAATGCTACATTTTTTTGCTATATGTGTATAATATATAAATGTGTAAATAAGATTTAAAACGTATAGAAAAGCAGAGCCAATGAGATGACTTATGGGTAGACATGTTTGTCACTATGTCTGGTGACCTGAGTTTGATCTCCAGAGCTCACTGGATGGAAGAAAGAGTCAACTCCTGCAAATTATCCTCTGATTGCTACACATGTATTATGACACATACACACATACACACACACACACACACACACACACACACACACAAAGTAAAAAATTACAAAACCACCCAAAAGAGCAAAAGCGAAGTGATCCATGGCTGTGGAAATAGGTCTGAAAAACCACCACTCCTCTTTGCTGTCAATTAAGTGAGTTTCAATAGTTATTAATAGCCTTACTCATGTTACTGGTATTAGGCTCGGAATTGTATGTGGAATTACTAACAGTAAAACATATGGCTACAGTTTAACAAATTACACACCTTGAAATGCATTCACATAAAAAAATAAAGAATAGGGCTCATGTGTCACTTTTGTAAAAGGTCTATGATGAGGCCATCTTAAATACATGGGCCTTCCAACACCAATAGAACCAGGGCACTGAGCCATGCAAACAGCTGCCTTAAACCTGTATGAATTTAAAGCTAGCATTCTAGAGGCTCTGGCTCATAGTTTCTCACGTTAGGCGTGGCTGGTTCTCTAGAATACTAGAAACGTCAAGGGGTTTAGAGATTGTAAAATATATGGGTGGGAGGCAATAGTGGGAAAATGCACCGACAGCTGCAAAACCAAGGAATATTTAAAAGTAATGACCAACTCATTCTTTAAATCAGACTAAGTGATCTAGAAATCCTCTGCAGCTCCAAATGCAAGGTTAAAAGGAAATAGTTTCTATGAGAAAACAGAAGACAAAGGTCTCTGTAGTGATGTTGCTGTTGGCAGATATTGTTTAGATATGCCACAGGAAAGCGTAAACCAGAAAAGAA